CCCCCCCCCCCCCCCCCCCCCCCCCCAGCACGCCGGAGAGACGTGCGGTCTGGACTCCGCGGCTAGGCCTCGAGGGTTGGACGGCGTGGGCCGCGGTCGCGCAGTGAGCGCTTACTGAATGCACTGCAGAGAGCTGGGGGTTTAGGGGCAGGGGCACAGCCCTCGAAGCCTTTTCTGTTCAAAACAACACAGCATTGTTCCTGGGTTATGAGTTTGGGCTTGTGTCTACTTGGTTTTCACGCTCTTCTCCAGCCCACTCCACTGCTCCTGTCTCTTGCACACACTGGGTGCTTAATAAATACGAGGTCGCGGATAACGCTAGAACCGACATGATCTCACTGGGCTTAACACAGGCAACTTGAGAGCTGTTTCACGATGGCTGCATGAGGATTGCGATTGAGGCTTTTTTCGAGTCTTGGCACATACCTCTTAATGGTTTGCAGATACTTTAAAAGTGCTAACGTGGATCAGAGGAATATATTTAGTGTGGGCGCTGCCTTTTGGATCAAATTGAAAACAATGTTTCTGAATTCTTAATTCTCATTCCTAGTGGAAGGATGAGGGAGGGAGAAACCAAATGATAATCTGCTCACTAATACTGTCAAAAAACAAAAAAGCAAAACCAATCAGGCTCCAGTTTCCTGAAGTGGAACCTGGGAGCTGTTGACCGTTTGACATGTCTTTTTTTTTTGAGTCAGAGTCTCCTCTTGTCGCCTAGGCTGGAGTGCAATGGCACGCTCATGGGCACCGCAGCCTGCTGGGCTCAGGTGATCCTTCCATCTCAGCCTTCCCAGTAGCTGGAACCACAGGCACATGCCATCACACCCAGACAATTTTTTGATTTATTGTAGAGATGAGGTCTCTCCAGATTGCCCAGGCTGGTCTCTAACATCTGGGCTCAGGCATTCCTCGCGCCTCGGCCTCCCAAAGTGCTGGGATTACAGGCTTGAGCACTGTGCCTGTCCTTGACATGTCTCAAATCAATCACTTTCTTGTGGGAGGAAACGACCAAGATTTCATCAGACTCCAGCACATTTGATCTACTTCCTAAAGGTCACATAAACACCTGAATTGGCGGGCACTTTTCTTTAGATTTGACTTTTGTGTTCTTGTTTTTGCTGTTTAAAATCTTATTCAGGGTGCAGTAGCAGGCAACTGTAGTCCCAGCTACTCCATAGACTGAGGCGGGAAGATCACTTCGAGCTGAGGAGTTGGAGGACAGCCCTGGCAACATAGTGAAACCCCATCTCAAAACAAAACAAAAACAAACTTCTTGTTCCTGGAAAAGGTAAATGGGAACAGACCTATGGTGTGACCCTCATGTCATGAAAAGCCTAAAGGAAGTCAAGGGAAATGAATGCCAAGAATGACAGTACAAATCTTGCCCCAAATATAAACTTCTTGGCTCTCCTTTGGAGAAACAGTAGTAAGTTCACACTCTATGGAGAAGCATGAGTAATGTTTTTTCTTTTTTTAATATGAGAAGGGACCCAAAAAACCCTGGAATTTACTTATGAAAAATTATGTATTCTTACATGTTTAAACCTCAGTCACCTTCAAAAGACCCTCCATTTAATGCAATACACCTATCATGATGCTTTTTCCACTGCTCAAAACAGTTTTTTAATTCATCCATTTCGATGCCTTTTAGTGCTTCTGCTGTTTTTTGTGTCGCCTTTTCCACATTGGCAGACCATTTCCTTTTGACGACTTTTTTCATCTGGGGAAGCAAAAAAAAAAAGTTGAGATTGGGTGAGTAGGGAGAGTGGGGCATCGGGATCATGCCCTTTTTGGTCAAAAACTGCTGAGCACTCAGTGAGGTGTGGGTAGATGAGCTTGTAAATCATACTTCATGAAATGAGCAAATATGTTGGAAGAATCTCCAAAAAAATTTCTCGAAGCCAAACGCAGTCTCTCACAACATCACTAGCTGGTACACTGTTGCCGATGGGTTCCTAGAACACTTGCTTATTGGGGAAGTCTGTACTACAAGGGACCTACCCCTCAAAGACTGTATTTTTGGGGGGGCCCCTCGTAGGTGGGATCTCCTATATTGCCTAGGCTGGAGTGCAGTGGCTATTCATAGGTGCCATCATTGCAGAATACAGCCTGGAACTCTTGGTCTCAAGGGATACTCCTGCCTCAGCCTTCCCAGTAGCTGTGACTACTGTCCAGAGCCACTGCTCTGGCTTCTAAGTGATCTTTATGTATGGATGTATGTATTTTGTGTTTTTTTTGAGTTGAGGTCCCACTCTGTCACCCAGGCTGGAGTGCAGTGGCATGATCACAGCTCATCACAGCCTTGACCTCCTGGGCTCAGACAGTTCTTCTGCCTTAGCCTCCCATGTAGCTGGGACTACAAGCATGAACCTCCATGCCTAGCTATTTTTTTTTTAAGATGTGGGGTAAAACTCAGGGTTAGGTATATAAACGGTCATTGTACGGGTAAAGTTTGGCCTCACTTTGGTCCCTACTTCACCTGGTTTGGGACCAGGTACCCTTATTGATTAAAATGTACCCCCCTTCCTCCCCTGATAGTTTCCCACTACTGTCAATCCTTTTCTCATAGTATTATGTTAATTGTCCGGGGTCTGCTTATGAGTGAGAACATGTGGTACTCCGTTCTTTGTTTCTGTGCTAGATCACTGAGTATTATAGACTCTAAATCCATCCAAAATTTTTTGATTTATTGTAGAGACGTCTCCCTATGTTGCCCAGACTGGTCTCAAACTCTTGGACTCAACCAATCCTCCTGCCTCAGCCTCCCAAAGTCCTGGGATTATAGGTGTGAGCCACTGTGCCTAGCAGTGCTTGATCCTTTAAAAAGCTAAATCTCATCATGTTACTACCCTTAAAACCTCTCAATCACTTTTTCTTATTTTTAGGAAAAAGGGCAAAACCGTTAACTGAGCTACAAGGTCCTACCTGATTTATTTACCTTTTGCTCCACCCACACCAACCTTTCAGACCTTTTCAGTGCCCTATCCTCTGTCTCTGGGCACAACTGTGTTTTCTTTCCTTCCTGCTATCCCCATACTCATTCTCCAGTTCTCACCAAAAGTCACTTCCTTAAGGAGGCCTCCACTGGTTTAGGTCTTTCTGTTATACACTTTCACTACAACCTAATTAATTAGCACGAATTATAATATATGGGTATATTCAATGTCTGTTTCTCCCACTAGACAGTAAGCACATACATGTGAAGTATGAAATGCCTTTAGGCTAGGTGCAGTGGCTTACACCTGTAATTCCAGCATTTTGGGAGGCGGAGGTGAGAGCATTGCCTGAGCACGGGAGCTCGAGACCAACCTGAGCAACAAAGCAGCAAGACCTCATTTATACAATAAAACCAGGAAAGAAAAAACTAGCCAGGCATGGTGATGTGTGCCTGTGGTTCCAGCTATTTGGAAGGCTGAGGCAGAAGGAACACCTGAGCCCAGCAGTTCAAGGCTGTGGTAACTGTGATTGTGCCACTGCACTCCAGCCTGGACGATAGAGTGAGACTCTGACTCCAAAAAAAAAAAAAACAAAACTTTAAAAATGTATTATCATTGAGTACATTACTTTCTGAACATGTCTGCATTTTGATGACTGTGGCAAATCAGATTTGAGTTAAGAGGGAGGGTGGGCCCAGAGCTGGTGACTCATGCCTGTCATTTCCAGGATGTTGCGAGGCTGAGGCAGGTGGATTGCTTGAGTCGGGAGACCAGCCTGGGCAAAAAAACAAAACCTGGTCTCTATTTAAAAAGGGGGGGAGGGAGTAGGAAGGGGTGGATAGGTGGGTGAGGGGAGTGACAAGACCAGATTTGGAGTTTGGGGTTTTTTCTAACTTAGAATGGCTACAGAAAGCAGAATATGGAGAATGGGTTTATTTGGAAGGAAGATTGGATATAAAGATGATTTGGGTTTCTAGCTTGGGCCCTTGGAGAATGGTACCATTTATAGAGAAGGAAATCAATCTCAGGCAAGAGAAGTTCATTCGTTCAGTTTTGAACATTCTGCAAGCTATCTGGGTGGACATTTTGAATAGGGAGTTGACTGACCAGTTCAAAATACAGTCCAGGCTGAAGGTAGGCGAGGAAGGCAGGAAGGAGGTGAGAACAGAGTGAAACACATTCTAACTAGTTATTATAGAGAACAGCAGAATCAACCGATTGGGAACATGTGTTTAGTAAGACATGTCTGAGACAGTCGAGGCCCAGAAACTGGCAACTGTTCATAGAGAAACAAGGAAGTTGCTTTTATCTAGCATTGAGATTTTCCAGAGGTATATGATAGAAAAACAGTAAAGTAGCTTCTAAAATACTGGAAAGAAAGTGGGTGGAGACTCGGATATTATGGGGTTATTCTATGACATAGGGAAATAGTTAAAATTACCAAGTTTTACTAAAACATCATAGTTCCTTGTTGCATGCATTTTTGTTTAAATTAAGCTATCACATGAACATACGTCAAAGACTTTTTTGTTTTTTGTTTTTAGTCAGGGACTCAGTCTGTGGCCAAGGCCGGAGTACAGTGGCATGATTATGGTTCACCACAGCCTCCACTTCCCACGCTCATACAATCCTCCTGCCTCAGCCCCCTGAGCAACTGGGACTACAGGCATATGCCTCCACACCTGGCTAATTTTTTTATTTTTGTAGGTATCTCTGTGTTGCCCAGACT